AGCCGCTCCGCGGCATGTGGGATCCTCCCGGACCGGGTCACGAACCTGTGTCCTCTGCATCGGCAGGCAGACTCTCAACCACTACACCACCAGGGAAGCCCATCCACAGTTGTTTTTTATTTTTTATTTTTTTTGGCCATGGCTCATGGGCCCAGCCGCTCTGCGGCATGTGGGATCTTCCCGGACCGGGGCACGAACCCGCATCCCCTGCATCTGCAGACGGACTCTCAACCACTGTGCCACCAGGGAAGCCCCAAAATTATTTTTAAAAAAATTTTTTATAGGTGCTGCCAATCGCCCTCTGTGGTGGCTGTGCCAGATTATACTCCCACCAACAGTATGAGAGTGCCTGTGTCTGCACACCCTTGCCAACACAATATAATCAAACTTGTTAGTATTTGTTAATTTGTTATGTAAAACAACAGTATCTCATTGTAGTTTTATTTAATTTTTTTGGCTGTGGCACGTGAGATCTTAATTCCCCGACCAGGGATCAAACCCGCACCCCCTGCAGTGGAAGCACGGAGTCTTAATCACTGGACCGTCAGGAAGTCCCTTGTAGGTTTGTTTTTTTTTTTTGGCTGCGTTGGGTCTTCATTGCTGTGCGTGGGCTTTCTCTAATTGCGGCGAGCAGGGGCCACTCTTCATTGCGGTGCACGGGCTTCTTATTGCAGTGGCTTCTCTTGTTGCAGAGCACGGGCTTTTAGCTGCACAAGCTTCAGTAGTTGCAGCACTGGGGCTCAGTAGTTGTGGCAGTTGTAGCTCGTGGGCTCTAGAGCACAGGCTCAGTAGTTGTGGCGCACGGGTTTCGTTGCTCCGCAGCATGTGGGATCTTCCCGGACCAGAGCTCGAACCTGTGTCCCCTGCATTGGCAGGCAGATTATTAACCACTGAGCCACCAGGGAATTCCCCCCTCATTGTAGTTTTAATTTACATTTCTCTTACTATGAGATTAAGCATCTCTCCATGTTTTAGAGGCATTTCTTTTCCTGTTCATATCCTTTGCCCATTTGGGTTGTTGACATTTTACTCATTGATTGGTAGGTGCTCTTTACATATTAAGGAAATTAGCCTTTGTCTTATTATGTCACACATTTTTTTAACATGGTTGATTTAAATTTTTTTGTGTTCCCCCCACTGGAAGAAATTTTTTTAGTGTGATGTAGTAAGATCTTTTATCTATTTTATAGACGCTTAAGTTTTTTGTATACTGCATGAAACTTAGAAACTTCTGTGTGTACAAGAGATTTTTGAAAGGTCTATCCACTTCAAGATTATATATAATTTTCCCCATGTGTTTCTTCTAGGTTGTTTTTTCCCTCCCCCACTCTTCTAGTTTTTTTTTCTTAAACATTGTATAAATATATCAAATTTATCCATTTTCCTGTTGATGGACATTTTTATTGTTTCTAAGTTTTTGCTCTTGCTGTAAAGAACATGTGTATGAGTCTTAGTGCAATTTGGTGGCTTTCACTCTAGGGTACTATGTCAGGCTGCCGTCTCCAGGAAATAGATTTAGAGGTTTACTTGCAGGACACTCACTGGGGAGTGCTCCTGAGAACAACACCTGTAAGAAATTGTAGGAAGCAGGATTGGGGAGAGAGAGAAATTAAACTGCAATGTACCTAGGACAGAAGCCCCAATTCTGGAGCTGGACAATTCTTCACGTTGTTTCAAATTGGGGCAAAGAGGCTTGGCTTGTCCCCACATGTTGGCTATAGGCTGCTCCTGAGGAGGGTGTGTGCTTATCCGGGGCAAGGCGGCCCCCTTCACTGCAGGCAATTTCCTGAGAGGAACTCAGCTGTGAGCCCAGCAGCCACGGACCTCAGTGCCTGGGTTCTGAGGGGTGGAACCTGGGTGATGCCTCACAGCTTCCACAGGTGCATTTTAACTTTACAAGATTTTGCCGAATTTTCAAGTTGATTTTATCAACTTCTACTCTCTTCTGCAGTATATGAGAATTTGTATTGTTATTCTTCCTTTCCACATTTTCTATCTTGGTTTTCCTATGTTATTTTGGGGATAGTTTCTACAGATCTTTTCTGAGGGGCAAAAATGATCTCTTTGGCTGTGTCTGTTTTTTAACTCATTTTTTTCCTGGAAATTCCAGGTATTTCTTTTAAAATGTTTGTCTTTTTTTTTTTCCTTAAAAAGCAAACTGTTTCTTTAGTATGATTTTCATATCTTTATATTTTTAATATAAAACTTATTTGTCTCTTATATGATAATCAATAGCTATACTTTTTGATGTCCTGGGGCTCTAATTTCACTCATTATTCTATTTATTTTCATGCAGGCTGTTTCTTCATGTTTGTAATTTTGTGGGAGTTCTGTACTGCCTGTGTCTGTCCTCCAGAAGGGTTTTGCGTCTGCTTCTTCCAGGCTCCTCAGGCATATTACCAGCCTGGGACCCCATTTCTTCCTTTAATAATAAACCTTTTTAAGTTTCAGAAGTTTTACAGAATTATCACAAAGACAGTATCTTCTAATTCTCTTAAGGTTGCTTTCTTTTTTAGTCTAAATTTTTGATTGATTTGTCTGTGGAGATGGTACCACTGTAAGTAAAGGAGAAAACTGGGGTGTCAGCTAAGGAGAGGAAAGCCCTGATGTCTTGTGGGGTAAAACTGTGCAAGTCCCAGGGACTTCCCTGGTGGTCCAGTGGTTAAGATGCCGTGCTTCCACTCCAGGGGGAATGGGTTCGATCCCCGGTTGGGGAACTAAGATCCCGCATGGCGTGGCAAAAACCCCCCAAAAACCTGTGCAAGTCCCACATACCACCCAAGGCCCAAGGGGACATGCCTCCTCCCAGGCCCTTCTTAGCCCCTCCCAGACGCCCTCACCCCCAAACCTGGTTTGTGCCATGGTTCCACACACCCTTCTCAGAGGGTGTGTATCCTTTCTCCCCCTCCCACCCCAAATGCTCCCTCCGGGTGGGATGGCATCTTCTCAGTTCTCCACAAACCTTGCTGACTGATGAGTGGTGAGCAGTGCAAGAGGTGAGGGGGAACGATGGGCAGCCCCACAAGCCAGAAATGACCCCGCCACCCGGGCCAGCACCCCACAGTCTCATTTGCCTGACCAAGTCTCCCCCTCTGTGCACTGGATGTGGAAGAGAGGGAGGGGTCTCATCAGCCCCCAGGAAAAACACTGTAAGCTGAGTTAGCTTAAATCAACTCTTAAATATTTAATTCCCATTTATTTAAAGTTCCATCAGTCTGTATACACTATTTATATTAAAAACACAGGAAGCTGGGGCTCCTAGCAAAAATATACATTTCAATTTTAGAGATTGTTCAGACACTGAGAAGAGCTGTATCCTCAGTACCAGAACTGGGGAGGGGGATGAGGATGAGGATGGGGTGCATGGCGGGGGAGGGGGGGGAGGGGAGGGGAGAATCTTGCCAGTAGAGAGTGATCCTCAGGCATGGAAAGGCCCCTCCAAAAGGAAGACCAGACAGGACCCAGGAAGCCTGGGCTCTAACCCCACATGTCCCGCCACCTTTCTCAGAGACGCCAGTCAGCCCCTCACCCCTCCAGACCTGTTTCCTTCCTGGAGAAGCAGCCTGGGTAGGCTCTCTGTCCTCTGCTCAGACGGCAGCGCTCCAAGCTGTGCTTCTGCCCCTCCTCTGGGGTGAGTGCTTATCAATGGGGATGAGGGGGAGGGGCGGGGCCACGAGTGGGACTGGGCCTAGCAAGGTCCTTGGTCACCAGAGGCAGTACAGGGAGAGTTCCAGGTGACCAGCTGGGCCAAATACAAGGAAAAGGGGAGGGCAGCAGAGTTGCTGGGACAGAGGGTGTCACAAACGAGAAGGATCAGTTTATCCCCAGTACCTCCCCTGTGAGCAGGTGCTGGGCTGGGTCCACAGGACCCCGTGCCCACCAAGGGATCCGGCCTAGCCTCGGGAACAGGGGCACAGCTCTGCCCGTCCACCTGCAGGCCCCTCTGGGCACTCGCCTGCCTCAGGGAGGGGAGGGTGAGAGGTGTGGAACCTGCAGGTAAAGTGATTTCAGTGCTTGTGGTGTGTGGGCTGGAGGGAGTGTGTGTGGGGAGTGAGCTTCAGCTGGGCTGGAGCCACTGCCAGTGTCTCCCGGAGGCCAGAGAAAGGAGGGGCGCTTGTGAGGCCAGGCCCTGGCGCTGCCTGGGGGAGCGCGGTGCCGACACCTGTAGGCAGGAGTCGGTGGCGCTGCAGAGAGGCAGACAGAGTGGGGTGCTGATGGGGGACCCGCCCCAGGCCTGGGCTCAGAAGCAAGTCCCCGGCTCGCCATCTCCCCTACCTCCCTCCGCCTCTCTTTAAGCTCGCTCCTCGTCAGTGGGGGTGTAGGGACCCCCACCTCTATCCAGGCTGGGCGCGTGTCCCCCAGCGGCCAGCGTGGGGGCCATCAGTGACACTGGCCTGCGAGACCGGTGAAAAGAAGGGAAGGGCGGCGGCTCAGCAGGGCTGAGGTGTGCGCTGCCTGCTGGGAGCCAAGCTAAAGCCCCGGCCGGGCCGCCTGCAGGGGGAGGCATCCTCCACCAGGGACCCGGTGACCAGGGGCCGCTCTGCACTCAGCCCTGGCCCTGCTTACCTTCCCTGGGAAGCCAGGCCCAGAGAGCTTAGTGTTTCTTTGGATGGCTCGAGCCCTTTGCTGTGAAGACTGAAGACGGGAGAAGGGGACTGTTGGTGCAGAGGGCAGGCCCGGCCCCTCCTGCTGCGGGGTGCGGGGTGGGGGGGGGGGGGGGGGGGTCGGTAGGGGGGGGGGGGGGGGGGGAAGCAGAGGTGCTGTTCTGTGCTGCTGGTGAAATAACACAAACTGCCTCACAGGAAGAGGAAGAGGGACAGACACGGAGATGGGGAAAGAGAAAGGGAGGGCGAGAGAGGAAGGAAGAAAAAGAACAAAGAAATGAGAGAAGACAGAGGAGCTGAGAAGGGAGGGAGCCGGGGAAGGGAGAGGGAGGTGGGCCGACTGTGTGTGATTCCCCCTCGGCCACCAGGCCCAGTGCTCAGCGGCTGGTCGACAGAGAAGCCCTCAGTACATGTCCTTGTAGATCTCCTGGAGCAGGGGGTGCAGCGAGGTCTCGGTCTCCGTCTTCTTGATCCGCTGCATCATCTGGGCGTGCTCGGTGACCAGCTGCCGCAGGTCAGCCATCTTCTGCAGCAGTTTGGGGAAGAGGTACTGGGCGTCAGGGTGGTTGGCCTGCAGGTGGAACTCGAGGGCGCGCAGGATGGTGTCCTGGATGGCCTCCACCTGTGACACGTTCATGAGGCCTGGCCGATCTGTGGGGACAGAGGGCAGGGGTGTGGGAGGCAGCAGGCACACAGGGGGTCTCAGGAGGGCAGGGCAGCTCCCCTAACCCCACCGGTGTGGGCAACTTGGCCCTGGGAAAAGTGGGCCTCCCTGCCTGGACTCAAACCTCTTCTCTACCACAGACTAGCAATGAGGCTACGGGCAGGTCACTCAGCCTCTCTGGACCTCAGTTTCCTCATCTGCAAAATGGGGATAACAGAAGTGCCTCTGGCATAGAGTCATTATGAGGATTAAAGAGTTATAATCTAGGAAAAGGAACTGGAACAGTGCCTGGCATGAAGCAAGCTCTATGCCACTGTCAGCGTGAGTCTTACTATATTTATTGTGCTGGAATTTGAAAAATGCAGGTAAAACACAGAAAATTTCTCCACTATCAGAAATAACCCCCATCAACATGTTGGTACATTTCCTTTCAGTCTTTTTTCTATCTCATCTCCATCTATACTAGATGGAGCTGGTCCTGCACACAGTTAGTGCCTTACATGTTCCACTGCCATCATCACATGGACCCTTCCTCCTGCTGTCAGAGCTTAGGCTTGGCCCCTGCAGTGAGGGCCCAGCCCCCAGGAGGGCTGGCTGTGCGGGGCTGACCCACTGCCCCTCCCTCACTTACCTCCGCACAGAATGATAGCCGCGATGAAGAGAGCCAGGTCACTGTCATCAAGTTCCAGGGCATTGAACTTGACAGCAAACTCGAACTTGGGCTCGATGATGTCACTGAAGGGCTTTCGGAGGCTGCGCAGGAACTCACGGGTGACAAAACCAGTGCCGTTGGCCACCAGAAGCCCGTCCTTATTGACGATGGAGGCCAGCATGGCAAAGATGGCCTCGTGCACACCATACTTGAGAAGGGTCACCTGGTCGTTGAGGAAGAGGTCGCTGAAGCTGGGGATGCTCTTGGCGAACTCGGTGAGCTCACGCACGGTCTCCACCGTGGTGCACTGGCAGCGGTAGAAGACGTGCACGCTGATCTCCTTGTAGGGGGGCAGACCGTTCACCAGCTGCTTCCACACCAGGCCCTTCTCTGCCTGCCACAATGTCTCGATGTCGTGGATCACAAAGGGCTGAAAACCAGGCCCCGTTAGAGGCCAGGCCTCGGGGGACCCCCGCCCATGTGTGCCCCGTACCCCTTGCCTGTACCACGAAGTGAGGGAAGGGAGGAGGCCTGGTTCTCCCAGGAGTCAGGCAGGTGGCAGCAGGGCCCAGAGCCCGGGGTGCTGCCAGGCTGAGCAGTGACACTCACCGCCGTGTGGCTGGCCTTGCCGGTGAGGATGCCACGGGCCTTCTTTTTGGTCATGTTGAAGTTTTTCAGGTAGGCACTGTAGATGTGCTTGGAGAAGGCCCTCAGGTCAGCCACCTGGGGGTTGTGTTGACTCCCCTCGTTTGCCGTCAGCCCTGCCACCAGTTTCCTCTTCTCAGCCTCTGGCATCCGGCCAAAGCGGATGGCTGCATGGGGAAGGGGGACAGTCATGGAGGAGCCTGGGCAGGGGCCAGCACCTCTAAGGTACACAAGCCAAAGACGGAGACACACTTTTTGAGCACAAGGCCCTAAGAAGCTCTAGAGCCAGCAAGTTGGAATGTTGGAGAACCCCTCCAGAATATAAGCTCCGGAGGGGCAGGGCTTCTGTCTGTCTTGTTCACAGAGCCCAGCAGGCTCTGTCTCCCGGGAGTGCCGGCCTCCAGCAATCTCCAGCCTCGCTCCTGGCAGCTGACACACGTGGTCACTCACTGGCTCCTGCCTGCCCTCAACAACCAAGAAAACCTGAGGGGATCCTGGGCCTTGGCAGTGGCTTTTCACACCCTGTCAGGTTATCCAAGACAGGCTCAAGGTTCCGGGAGTGGTGTTTCCAACACTACTGGAGTTAGGGTCAATTCCCAGGTCCCTTCTGGGCCAGAGAGGGTGAGGCTCAGGTGCAGACAGGTGGCAACTGCCCCCGGCCTGGGAAGCATGGCGGGTCCTGGGCAGTCTGGGAAGGCAGGCCTCAGCAAGGGCAAAGCTGACCCGCGTACTGACTGTCTGCTGGGCGCTGCTCTGAGGGCACCCCCTTTCTGTTCCTGGGCTCTCGGAAACCTGGTTTCAGGTTGGCTCACCGTTGTGCGACATGCCCAGCGCCAGGCATTTCTGGAAGCGGCAGTACTGGCACTTGTTGCGGTTCTTCTTCTGGATCTTGCAGATCCGCTCACACTTCTCGTATTCCAGCTTCATGCGGATTGTTCGACGGAAGAAGCCCTGAGGGACAGGGGACAGGTGAGGAAGAGAAGAGCCACGAGGAAGGGAGAAAGGGTAAAACCCTGACTGCTGGGCTGTGCCAGGGGGCTTGATTATGCATCGAGATGTAACAATTCCTGAATTTTGGAAGTAATGGGGGGGGGAAATATTATTGGAGGAGAAAGGGAGAAAGAAAGTAAACAACTCTAAAACTTTTGAAAATAACTGAAATAATATAGCATATTTATTTTAAGTGCTTCTTTGTTAGTTTGGTGAAACAAAACTGTACTGTGGCTAACTTGATTTATTCGTAAATGCAACCTGGTTCTGCATCTTTTCTAGGTAGTCGTTTAATAAAATAATATGTGAAATTTTGATGGGTGTGCAGTTAGTAGGAAGAATCCAAAAGCAAAACCAGAAAAAGAAATATAACGTTTCCTTTTTTATCAAAGAGCCCCCTCGGGCTTTGAGGCGCAGGAAACCCTGACCTTGGGAAGATGGCTCAAGCCCAAGACCCTCATCCTGTCCTACCTGTCTTCTCGTGTCAGGTCCCCAGGGGGCGCCAGCAGCCCAGAGAGCCCAGGTGAGTGACTGGGTCGGCACCAACGGTACCCAGCGGGGCAGACCCAGCGAGGGAACCCCTCCTCTACAACAGGACCCAGAGCTAAGCCTGGAACGGGCCCAAGGGCCTGGCTGCCTCCCAGGCAGGAATTCCACAGTGGGTATGGTCAGGACCTTGCCCGACAGCAGGGAAAGCCTTCCTGGCAGGTCAACTCACCATGTGATCACAGCCCTGATGGGCAGCCACCCCTCCACTGCCCGTACCTTGCACCCCTCGCACGCATGAACACCGTAGTGGAAGCCTGATGCCTTGTCCCCGCACACCCGGCACTCCATGTTGAGGCTGCCACATGAGGTCCCATCGCAGCCCATCTGCAGCTGGTCCAGCAGTGAGGGTGGAGAGCAGCTCCGGGAGAGGTCTGCAGACACACAACACAGGGAGAGGTCAGCAGACATACAACACAGGGGCAGCTTTGTGTTCTGCCAGGCCTGGGGGCCTGGGGAGGTGACCAGAGCCCGCAGGGCAGCCCAGGTGGCAGGGCGGGAATCACAGTCTTGGCTCAGCCACTTAAGGGCTATGTGACCTCTGGGAGTCAACTTTCTGAGGATCAGCGTCTACATCTAGAATGTGGGGTCAATGACAGCTTCTCTGGGTGGAGGACGAAAGTGTCCAAAGCATTTCCCCCAGACCCGACACCCAGCAAGTGTTCCAGAAAGGCAGCTTACTATCTGGACTGAGTTAGACCTGCCTGGGCTGAGCTCACTGCTGGCGGGGAGAGGGCATGCGGGGGATGGTTGTGTTTTGGGAGGAGGGGAGCAACAGGGAAGAAGCAGAGAGATTCTCTTTAGACTGTCTTTAGGAAGTGGCTCCCTGGCTTAAGAGACTCCACGGTGTGGGCCCACAGGGGATTGTGTGAAATGTGTTTTGTGGAGGCTACAGAAGCGCAGGCCTCTGCAGAGCTCAGCCCCCACCCCAGAAATCTGATTCCTGCATGGACTCCTGAGATGCTGCAAAGGATCTTTCAAGAAGCTCAAAGGCATTCCCACGCAACTTCTTGCTAGAGCAGAAAAAGCAGAAATCTCAGTCACTATGACCAGGCAGTGGACTGAACTTCCTCGAGTGTTTTCCTGTTAAATGTTCAGACATCTGAACCCCGTGTTGAGTGTTGGCGAGGAAAGCAGTTGGCCACAGGCGACTTCAGGGTATTTGTGCCGTCAGGTGACTTAGTGAGAATGGCTGCTGGGTCCCTCCTGAATCTCTCCCCTGGACGCTCAGAAATGAGCCCTTCCCTGGGAAAGGGGGCCTGACTGGGCCCGTCTCTGCCCCCAGCCCAGTGCCCCTGTGTGATCCCACGGGCCGCCTGCCCTGCCTCTGCCAGGCTGGCCTGCCAACCTGCTGTTCTCTGCTTTCTTCCTGACAACTGAGCAACCTCCTCAGGGGCAGGGGCTAAATCCCCAGACCAGAGGAGCAGTGGCTTAGAGCAGACAGCTCCGCAGGGAGACCCAAGCCACGGCGGTCAGCCCACACTTAAGGTTTTCCGGGCCTGCCTTCCACCCTCTCTACAGTATGGTCACTGCACAAGAGCCTGACTCCCCACGATGGAGCTACCCCGAGACCAAAGCCTACTCCACTTTCCGACACCTTCCTCCCAGCTCTCCCGGTGTCCCCTGGGGTCCTAGGAGTGACAGCAGGAAAGCCTCCAGCCACACCTCACCCCGCCAGCAGGAAGGAGCGCGAGCACCAGACCCCTGGGCTGGGGAGGGTAGGGGTGACACAGTCCCTGCTTCCTGAAACAGCCTGGCCTGTCACAGAGCCTTAGCTCTCAAATTCAGTCACTCCAAGGGGTGTAACCGCGCCCGCCTCAGCCCACGGACTGGGAGAGCGGGTGCCCTCGGCTCCTGCGCATGCGCTGCGGGGAGCCGGCAGCCTGTGGGGTGGGGTGGGTGTCGGGCCGACCCCTTCTGGTCTTCTCCGGAGCCTTTGTGTTCACTGAGCACTGGACGCCCCGCACCAGGACATAAGGGCCTCGGGGCAGGGACTCCGTCCACCAGGGCGCTGCTGCTGGACGCGGCAGGCGCTCAGCGACTCTGGACTAAGTGGTCCTCAAGCAGCCTGGGCGTCCTGGCCTCAGCGCCCGGGGGCTGGAGGGGCTGCGCTGGACCCGCAGCTCCTGCCCGCGATATCGCGGGGGCAATGGAATTCACATTACCGTCTGCTGGGAGAAAACGAGATAACATGTAAAATCGCTCTGTAGAGACCTACGCAGACGCCGGGCAGGGAGGGTTTCCGGCACTTCCTCCCCCGATCTGTGTGGTCTGTGTGCATGTCTGCTTTCTGGCACTTCTTGTAAGCGGTGTTGTTTATGTGGTTTGCACGTCTGCCTCCTCTGCTAGACTCGGCACGTCTCTACTCACATTCCCTTTGGATCTCAAAAGCCACCTCCTCCACTGAGTCTGGTCCACAGTGACCTCTCACCCCAGTCTGTTCCCACCTCTTGGTGGTGCCTTCCTCGTCCCCCTTGTGGCCCTGGAGGCCTGGCAGGTGTCTGGTCACTTGGTTGCTGTTGGTATGGCACATGGCAATGCCACCCTACCTTTTCATTCCACAGACATTTGATGAGCACCTGCTGTGTGCAGAGCGGGAGTCAGACCCTGCCCTCAACCAGCTGAGGTAAGAACACTAGGACACAAGGTAGCAAGTGGCAAGGCCAGTGGCGGGGCAGGCAGAGTGGTGCAGGACTGGACGTGAGGTGGTCAGGGAAGGTGACTGCTCCCCTCTCTGGGCTCAAAGGTCAGGGCTTCGATGACCCCCAAGCTGGCTTCCAGGTGCTCAGAAGCAGCCCGCCTAGGGGGTGAGAATGGCCTCAGGAGCCACACAGCCTGAGATCAGGTCGGGGGTCCGACGCTCACAACCCAGCTCTGCCCTCTGGGCCTGTCTCCTCCTCTGCAAATGGAGGTGACAGGAGCATGTGTCTCAGAGTCACCGTGAGGAGCAGAGGAGTTAACAGAGAAAGTTCCTGGACCTTGGAAGTGCTGTGGAAATATCAGCTTAAGTTAGGATGAGGCTCATTAGTATCAGAAAGCTGCACTTCTGCAGCTCCCAAGCATGTGCCCACACAGGCAGGCGCCGTTCCTCTTCCTTCCTCTGGCTGCTTGTTCTTCTTCCCCATGGCTTCACAGAAACCCAAGGTGGGGGAGGAGGGTCCTCTGCTTATGAGGCCCGGAGAGCCCCGAACAAGACCTAGCCTCCTCTCACTTCTGGCCTGCCGCCGCCCCTGCTCACCCTGGAAGAAGCCAAAGTGCCCAAGCCCCATGGACCACAGAGGCAGCCAGAGCTCTGGACTGTAGGGAGAGGCCCAGGGTGAGTGTCCCAGGGGGGCCCCAGTCAGGAAGAGTGGCAAACTGGACTGGGGGGGGAAAGAGACCCAGGGCAGCGTGGGGGCCCTGGGCGTGTCCTGCCCCCCAGGTGGTGGATGGGCACAGGTAGTCTGGGAAGCATGGGGCGGAAGGGTGATGGGACAAGGGCCCCCCACCCCACCCCCACCTATTTGAGGGGAATAAGAGAACTTGAATAACTGACACACGAGGTAGAAAGAGGCAGGGGAGATGAGGGACTGGGGCGGGTGGAGTGTATGTATCCTACAGGGGTAGGTTTTGTTGTGGGGTACATGTGTATTGGGGTATCCCATCACTTCGTGGTGAGTTTTCCAAAGATAAAGGTTCTCTTTCTTCCTTGTTGACCACCTGGCTTAAGACTTTATCCTCCAATCACCATCACATCCTACCCAAAAGTAATGATGGCAGAATGCTCCCCATTCAAGGGACCAGCTTCTGAAGGTCCCCCCACCCCATGACCTCTTAGCAGGAGACTGGGCTTCCAAGAGGCCCTCCCTCCCACTGGGAGCCCCTGCCTCAGGGATCCTCTGCCTCAGGGACCCCCAGGCATGCTGGATGGAAGACACCCTGGGCTCGCCCTCTGAGGGCTGTCTGCCTGCAAAGCCACTCTCCTGGGCCAGCCCAGGGCAGTCCTCTCACCTGGCCTCCTCCTCTGCTCTCAGGAGATGCCCTTGCTCACCTGATGGCCATCATCTGGGCCCTGAGCCCCACCTCTGAACTTCTGCCCCAGCCACACCCTGCCTGCCTGGCCTCCCAAACCCCTCCTGAGGGCCTGCCTCTACCAGTCCTGGGAGGGAAGGGGAAAGAAGCAGCGTTTATCAGGCCCCTACTAAGTGCCGAACGTTAGTGTCTTTATGCTCATTAGTATCATTTCAAATCATCTTGGAAGACAGTAACTGCCACCATTTAAAGGTGAGGAAACTGAGGCTCGGGAAGTTGCGGAATCTGTCCGAGAGTACCTGTCCAGTACATGGTGGGACTGGGATCTGACCCTAAATCTGAGTCCCTGCAAGGGCTGTGTGTTTGAAGCAATAACACCTCTTTTTTAGTGCACGCCTACTGTGTTCCAGGCCCTCTATTGGACACTTTACACCATTAGCCTCACGTGACCCACAAAACAACCCTTCAGGCAGGTCTTCTTAACGCCTGTTTCACAGGTGAGGAAACAGCCTCAGAAGGCTAAGTGACACACTGACAGTGGCTCTGATGGCTAATTTTACGTCAGCTTGGCCAGGCCAAGTACCCATGGAATCCAGCTTTTGGTCAAACACTAGTCTACCTGTTACTGTGAAGGGATTTTTTAGGTGTGATTGACATTTAAATCATGAGTCTCCACAATGTGAGCAGGCCCCAGCCAGTCAGTTGAAGGCCTGAGGAAAATAGGACCAAGGCCTCCCCAAGGAAGAAGGAATTCTGCCTCCAGGCTGCCTCAGACTTGAGCTACATTATCAACAAGCCCAGGTCTCCAGCCTGCTGGCCTGCCTGCAGAATTTCGAGTTGCCAACCCTCACAATTACATGAGCCAATTCCTTAAAATAAACCTCTCTCTCTGCGCGCATACACACACACACACACGCGCGCACCTCCTCTTGTTTCTGTTTCTCTAGAGAACCCTGACTAACACAGTGGCAGCGTGAGAACTATCACCCAGAACCATCCAACCCCTGGGGCTGAGCTCTTACCCACTGCACTCCGTGACTTTCCGTCTATGTGTGTACGTGTGTTCATTACTACTAATTAACAGTTCGTGATTATGATAAACGATGAGACGCGTCACTGCCAAGGATAACACTATGCCATTATTCAAATGTTTGGACTCAGCATAAGCACTACCCCTGTCACGCAGAGAGTGAAGTATCAGTTGCACCATCTCTGATTACAGGTTCAGCAAACACACGCTATTGACCTTATTCACGTCATTAGTGTAGTCAAGAGTTCTCCTGTATATCTAGTCTCCATCACTGGAGATAGGTTGTTGTCATAGCTGTGAGGGTGGCCCAGAGGGAACAGCCCTGTCTATTTACTTTGCTGGCAGAGCCCCAAAGGCAAACAGCTTCTGAAGTCAGGGCCAATTCTGTAGGACTCTGGGGCTGGGTTACCAAGCAGCCTCCTTACTTCTGTTGGCCTGGACTGTGGGCTCCTCAGGGCAGGCACTCAGTCTTGCCCTTCACTGGATGGCCGACCCCTGCTGGACACCCACCAAGCACTTGCTGACTGAGAGGAGGCACCAAGGCCAAGAGGAAGGACACTTTATCTTCCTCAGCCCTGCGCTGAGACCCCTGACTTCTTTCTTGGGTGTGACTGGGACCTTCATCACTAAAGCAAGAGAGGAAGAGGGTGGGAGTGGGAGGTGAACGCTGGCTCAGCTGCCCCTGCCCAGCCGGGGGACCCGGGCACGTGAGCTTCCTCTTTGCTGAGCGCTAATGATGAGGCCTGTCCTGCCCGCCTCCTGGGTGGGGGGAAGGGCTTGGCAGGTGCTGAGCTTGGTACAGAGATGCACAGGGTCAGCGCAGAACCTCTGGAGGGTCAGAAGGAAAGCACACTGTGCAGCCTTCCTGCTGTTCCAGGGCCTTTAGACTGTGCCTCATCCTCATGGGTCCCTGAGGGGGCTCCAGAGGCCAAAGTCATAGACTCACAGGGTGGGGCAGGGAGCCAGCACGTGCTGACTAGCGCCTGTGGCATGTCATATGCCACCACTGACTCCTCACCCAGCCGGCCCTTGAGATGGGCAGGATGCAGCTTTTTTTTTGGGCCACACCACGCAGCTTGCGGGATCTTCCCCGACCAGGGATTGAACCTGGGCCACCCCAGTGAAAGCCTGGAATCCTAAAGACTAGACCACCAGGGAAATCCCAGGATGCAGCCTTAAAAGGCAAAGAGCCTGAGATTGGAGAGGTAAGGGCACTGGCAAGGACCACAGCCCACAGGGGCAGACATGGGATTCTAGCTCTGGGTTGTGTGATCCCCAACACAAGAAGCTCTATCTCCAGGGCCCCTCACCTGCTGGCTTTTTTTTTTTTTTTAAGAAAACAACAACAACTAATTTTACCCTTTTAAAGAAAGTAAGGCATATGCTTTTTAAGTTATGAGAATACTGCAGGCTTGGTGAGAAAAACACATAAGGGCACACAGGTAGCATCTGACAGATCCCCTCCACCCACAATCCTACTCCTCAGAGTAGCCTCACTAGCTATTTGAGTGTCCTCGTCCAGTGCCTTCTAAGATATATAAGGATTTTTTTTTTTTAAGAAGATGTTGGGGGTAGGAGTTTATTAATTAATTAATTTATTTTGGCTGTGTTGGGTTTTCGTTTCTGCGCAAGGGCTTTCTCTAGTTGAGGTGAGCGGGGGCCACTCTTCATCGCAGTGCGCGGGCCTCTCACTATCGCGGCCTCTCTTGTTGCGGAGCACAGGCTCCAGATGCGCAGGCTCAATAGTTGTGGCTCACAGGCCCGGCTGCTCCGTGGCATGTGGGACTCTCCCAGACCAGGGCTCAAACCCGTGTCCCCTGCATTAGCAGGCAGACTCTCAACCACTGTGCCACCAGGGAAGCCCTATAAGGATTTTTAAACAATGGGATCCCCAAGTTGTCAGGAACTTACTTCCCTGTCAGCATACACAGACCTAATGACTGCAGAGCATCCCACCGTATGGCTCTACCACAGTTTATATAACCAATTCCCCACACATGGACACTTTCTAATTTTCTGCTATTATGAGCAGTGCTCCTATAGATAAGTGTGGAAATCTCTGTGCACGCTGAGCGAGTATTTACACTGGATACATTCCTAAAAGAGGAACTGTAGGGTCAAAGGAATGCACGCTAAGTAGTAATGGACTGCACTGCCCAGCTGCCCCTTCCACCCTCAGGGACTACTGGAGGGCCACGTCCTCACCCTCTGGCCAACCCAGGCCTCGCTGCCAATCTGACAGGCTAAACAACATCTCATCTGAAGATTCCTTCTCTGACTATTGAGTAGACTGAAAAATGTTTCATGTTTTCTGGCCATTTGTATTTGTCCTACCGTGAATTCCCTGCTTCTGTTTTTCTGGTGGGGGGCTTGTCTTGTAGAATTTTATATACTATGGCTTTCACCTAATGATTAGGTTAAACAGCCCCCTCCATTTCAATTATTGAACAAGTAAGTCTTTCTACCGCCAATTCATCCATTTATTGATAAACGGAATCTATTAAACACAACATCATACACAGCACTGTGAGACTGGCTGGGTAAATTCTGCCCCAGACGTCTCCCCACGTGCTCTAAACCCCACCAGTACAGCTCCCCGAGACGCCATCACCATGCCCGCCTCGCCCGCTTCGCACAAGCTAGCACGCTCTGGTCTGCATGCAAACAGCCTATCATTTGGGGATATGGTCCCCACAGCGTGTGTAGGAAACCCCAGGACAGGACACCACACTGCAGGTACTTCTACGTGCCTGGGCCAGCCATGGGGGCAGTGTGGGCTAGGGTAGGCAGTGAGGCCACCAACCCCAGGGCCCTCTCTTCCTCTTCCACTCTCCCTTGGTGTCCTCAGTGACAACTCTTGCTCATTCTTAGCTCCCAGTATCTCCTCTCTGCCTCCTAAGCCTCCCCGCTTGTCTCAAGTTCAGGACAGTGTGTGCAGGTCCTGTGTGCAGGTCAGCCATTCATTCCTCTCTCCTGAGAAAGGTTGGGTCTGCAAAGCCATCAGCCAACCAACAGGGAGTAGGTTACCCTGGGGGATAGGGGATACCTTCTCGCAAGCCCTGAAATCACACTGGGCCTACTTTGGTTGTTCCAGGGTGTCTGGTGGGATCAGAGGCACTGGATGATGGCTCTCCCCTCACCCTACCCCACCGTGTGCCCCGAAGAGGAAGAACCTCTGCAAAATCCCGGGACTTTGCTTTGTAGGTTCACAGCAGCAAGCAAGGCCCAAGGATTCAGGCCTCTCTTAGGTGCAGGCTCAAGCAGGAGCCTGTCCCACCCCAAGAGCCCCCACCCTGACTTAACTCCTGACACCACCTGCCTCCTTCTCCCTATGCAGACACAGGGAGCCAGAGCGCATCTTTGTGGGGCAGGCCTGCTCGTCTGCTCTGAATCACCACTTGTGGTCAGGATCCCCTTCAGCTGAAGCCAGCAGCAAAATCAGGATGCCCCTCCCAGCAGCACATCCTCTAATGACGCTGAGTACCCTCTGAGGGAAGGGAGAAAGGACCAGCTGAATGTGCTGGTACTCGGGTGGAGGGAGCAGGGAAGGGGCGGCAGCAGCAGCAGGGAGAGCCAGGGGCTGAGGGGGGGGTGCAGCGTCTGGGTGCCCTTGAAGGTGGACATAGCATGATGATGATGACGATGAAGATGAGGACACCACAGTACAAAGTACCAGAGGAAAACGTCTACACTGCTGCTGGCAGTAGATAAAGGGGAACCAACAAGTTAGACAGGAGAAGCTAAAATCTGTCTGGCTACACGAAAGTATTACTAATTCCCGTCATTGTCACTAAGTGCTTAGCATCTGCCTAATTACAATGCACCTTGATGATGTGTAATTAGTACCAGATTGAGTTGTGTGTTCTGACTGATCCTAACAATCACAGGTACAGATGATCTTTCTGGCATGTTGCTGATGCACATTTGTCCCAGATCCCTTGTGGTAGGAGAGGTGGAGTAATAATGATGACAACGTGCATTACACAGGCTAACTCATTCCATTCTCACAAAAGCCTGTGTGCACGTCCCCTATAATCCCTGTCTGTTTTACAGGAAGAAGGGGTGCAACTTGCCCAAGATCCTGCAGTTGATGAGCAACAGAGCAGGGGTGTGACCCTGGGCTGTCTGGCTCCAGTCCTTAACCTCCCTGCTGCCCTGCACCCCATGATGATGCTGTTAGCAGAGGGCCAGGCTCCCTGTCCCCCAAACCCCATCTGTGCCCCCTTTGCCCCATGTCCCCTGCCTGCTCCCCCTTACCTGTATAGCTGCTGGAAGGAAGTGAGTGCCCTGGTCCCCCATTGAGTTCTGGGGCTCCTTCTGCCCTCGCCACTTCCTTTTTCTCCTCCTCTTCCCGGACCTCAGGGGCTTCCTCCGGTGGCTGCTCCATGGCTGATTTCCCCTCGGCACCACACCTGCAGGCCCGGTCATAGCTCTGGCATCTTCTGGGTCTGAACACAGATGGACCTCTACAGGGCAGTTCCTGTCAGCCTGGGCAAAGGAGAAGACAGGGAGAGGTTGGGGAGGCAGGGTAGAGGACGAGAGGGTGATGGAGTGGGGCAGGATCGAGGGCCGCCATCTGGGGGGACTGGAGGGGCACTTCTGCCTCTCCTGCCCTCGCAGAGCAGGAGCGACTCATCCCTGCAGTGCGAACCTCTAATCCTGCCATCACAGGTCACTGCCCCTCCACCCTTTGCCCACCTGGCTCTTGTGGCAGGTTTGTGGGGTTCAGAGCAGCTTCCGGTAGCCAGACGGGGTGATACACCCCTGTGCCACCTTTCCCCGCATCCTGCTCTTTGAGCCTCCTGAACCTACAGGAGCCACATGAGAATGACTTGAGGGGCTTTTCCAAACTTTCCAGTCCTCTTGGAGATCCTGATATGCATCAGACCTCCCAACCCCCATCCTGTCCCACCAGGACCCAGGCCCAAGAATCATCGCTCTCCTAAGCCACCTTTCTCCAAGGGAGTTGAACCTACCCTTCCTGTGTTTGGGTGTGGGAAAAAGGCACGCTAGGCTCACAGCTGACAGCAGACCTGCAACCAGACGCTCAATGCAGAGCCGTCAGGCAAGGGGCGATGCACTCTGTCCTGGAATCTGGGTTACTGGGTGGTGACCCCCATGTCTACATCACCCAGGAGGGGGCAGTTCCAACCCTCAGCAAGTAAAATACTGTCCACAGATGCTGCAGTCGGAGAGGGTAAGGCTACGGGTGCTGTGGGAGAGAGTCCGCCCGGCAGGGAACACCTCTCAAGAATACGGCCTGAGAAAAGACACTGAGGCAGCACAGTGAGGAGTGGTGAGGGCCCCTGTTGGCTGAGGCGTGGGGCGCTGAAGGAGAGAGGATTTGAAGGGCGGGCTGGGAAGGTGGGTTTTATCCAGGCGTGAGCACTTCAAATGCCCTGGCGTAGGGAGTGTGTGTAACTAGACCCAGTCCTGTGGTGCTGCAGGCCTGGAAGATTAACAGCAGAAAAGACCTGCTTTAGGAAAATTCAAGCACCTGTGGGACCTTACCTTGGATGTTCCACAGGCAGCTCAAACTCAACCTATCCAAACAGAAGCCACCATCTGGCCCTAAGCCCGCCCTTCTCTTCCTCTGGTAATCTCTACTTTAGTGACCCAAATGCCCAACTACCCACCTATCAAAGCCAGAAGGTGGGAATCATTTGACACTCCACACCCTCTCTCTTCCTCCTCTAGGCCTGCACACTTGGCTATACTGGAATCACTGGGGAGTTTTTGTTTCTTTTTTGGAGGTTTGAACTTGAGTAGGACATTTATAAAAACCTAGACAGGGGCAGTGTCCTCCCCAGCCCAGGTGCCACTAGGCACAGCACAAGAGACTACAAACGCAGCAGGGGAAGGTGGACACTCAGGGTGTGGGAGTGCAGGCACCCCCACTTCTGGCTCAGGGATTTGGGGAGTAAACAAAACCTACTTGGAGAAGAATTGGGGAAGAAAACCAGCAATTGCCTTCTTCTGTACGGGTGGGGACAGGGAAGGAGGCAGGGACAGGGGCAGGAGCATTTCACATCACTAACCTAACTTGGGAAACTGCAAGGGACCGTCTTCGACTGGCCTTAAGAGGAAGACAAGATGGATGATGGGAGAATCCACAGGAGGGAGAGGAGGAGAGGGAACGTGGCTAGGGGGCAACAGCCCCTTCCCTTCTGGGCACAGGAAGGCAGCCAGGGCACCAGGTCCAGGCAGTGACCTCACAAGGACAGCACAGTTTTTGCAGCTTAGATATCACCCACCTGCCCCCACCCAGCTACTCATTCTGTTCGCTCGCTGGTGTAGGGCCACTCTCCGGCCCCGAGGGAGTGGATGGCTCTGCGGCCTGGGGCCCTGCCTCTTCTGTGTCTCCTCCCTTGGAGGCAGCGCTAGCCTCTGCCCCTTTGGCCTGGGGCTCCTGGCTCTCAGGGGTGGCGGCAGCCTTCCCTTCCAGGGCAGTGTCTTCCTCGCTGCAGGCAACGACCTCCACTGGGGAGTTTTTAAATATATGGATGCCTGGGCTCATCCTCAGGGATTCTCATTTGATTGGTTTGGGAAGCAGCTTGGGCATCAGGATTTTTTTTTAATTAATATTATTTATTTATTTATTTATTTATTTCACTGCATCGGGACTTAGTTGTGGCACATGGGATCTTTTGTTGTGGCGTGTGGGCTTCTCTCTAGTTGTGGCACGCAGGCTCAGTAGTTGCGGCACGTGGGCTCTAGAGTGTGCAGGCTTAGTTGCTCCGCAGCATGTGGGATCTTAGTTCCCCGACCAGGGATCGAACCCGTGTCCCCTGAATTGGAAGGAGGATTCCTAACCACTGGACCACCAGGGAAGTCCTGGGCATCAGGATTTTTATTTTTAATTCCCCTGGTGACTGTAACGCACAGCTAAGCTTGAGAACCACTGTGCCACAGCAAAGCAACCTCCAGCTGATGGTAAATCGTTCCCTCTTAATCATTCCTTTCCACAAGGCCTTCATTTTCCCTTGTTTGGATTGACACAATGACCTCTTAATTGGTCTCCTAAAGGCAGTTTGGAAATTCAGTGCTAGGGTCTAAGACCTGGGGAGTTGGGGATCTGGAGATTTGTCGGGGGCAGGGGGGGAATCTTCACTGACGTGACAGGAGCAAGAAGGAATTCATTTCACCAAAGGAAAGTGACACGTCAAGGGAGGACAGAGGAAGAGGCATCAGAGCAGACAGTGAGGCAGTGGCCAGAGACAGGAGAGACTTGGGACAGCCGGTTGTCTCAGAGACAAGGGAAGGGCTGTTTTTTGGGGGGAGTGGGCGGTCAACCATCTCAAATGCTGCAGAGTTCAAGGGTGATAAACTGACACATGGCCAATGAATCCGGTGACTGTGAGGTCATCTTTGACCTTGTTATACAAATTTCAACCAAGTGGTTGGGATGGAAACCTGAGCTCTGAAGAATAAGTGGCAGCTAGTAAGCTGGGACAATGAATAGAGACTAATTTTTTAATGAATATATCACGGAAAGGAATGTACAAGAGGATGTAGCTTGAAAAAGTAGCAAAGCCAGGAAAAGTTTTTTTGGAATAGAGGAGGCTCAAGTAAGCAGTGGCTAGCTAGAGGAGAGGTCTTCAGAGAAAGACAGTCTGAAGATTCAAGGGGGAAGCTGGGGCAGGACGACTGATGGAAGAGGAATAATTCAAGGGCACAGGATGAGGAAAATACAAAGTATCGCAACAGTGTGTATGGGGGTGGTGGTGGCGGTGTGCTAAAGCTCATAGGGAATGACTTCACTCTTGTTAGTTAACTTAAGTAGGAGGAATGGTGGTCTACTGAGAGTAAAAGATGGGACTTGAAGAAAGCAAAGAGGCTGAGTGGAGGTACTCTGGCAAACATGATAGGGAATTAGCTGAAGAGAAATAAAAAGAATTGTATAGTAGGGCTATGGTAATTAAAATAGTGTGGTACTGGCACATGAATAGATAATCATTGAAAGAGCATACACAAAGTCCCTAAACAGATACAAATGCATATGGGACTTTAATGTTATAAAAATGGCACTCCAAACCAAAAAGAAAAGATGGATTCTTCAATAAATAGTATTGGGACAAGTGAATAACCATCTGGATCCCTACCTTACATCTTATACCAAGACAAGGTCCAAATAAATCAAAGGTTTTAAAGTTAAAACAAAAATACATGAATTATAAAAAGGGTTGAAAAGCTAAGTGGGAGAAGAGCTAAGGTGGATACTAAGCCCATAAAGCTTAATGGGTAAAAAAATTAATAAATTTGATTTCATAAAAATACAAACTTACTACAAGGTGAAAAAACCATCATAAGAGAAAAAAAAAACCCAGATAATAGACTGGGAAAAGTATTTGCAACTCGTCAGACAAAGGGCTAATTGCCCTAAAATAGTTCCTACAAACTATTAAGTAAAAGACCAGCAATCCAATAGAAAAACGGGGCCAGGATACAAAAAATGTACACAGAAAAGGTATATACACTTAGTTCTTAAACATATGAAAAAACGCTCAACATCATTCATAAAAGAGAAATGCAAATTAAAACAACACTGAAATATACTTTTTACAATCAGATTAAAACAGATGCTAACCCTCATGGGGCTTCCCTGGTGGCGCAGTGGTTAAGAATCTGCCTGCCAATGCAAGGGACACGGGTTCGAGCCCTGGCCCGGGAAGATCCCACATGCCGCGGAGCAACTAAGCCCGTGTGCCACAACTACTGAGCCTGAGCTCTAGAGCCCGTAAGCCACAACTACTGAAGCCTGCGTTCCACAACTACTGAAGTCTGTGCACCTAGAGCCCATGCTCTGCAACAAGAGAAGCCATGACAATGAGAAGCCTGCGCACTGCAAGGAATAGTAGCCCCCGCTCACCACAACTAGAGAAAGCCCACACGCAGCAACAAAGACCCAACACAGCCAAAAATAAATAAATAATTTATTTTTAAAAAAAACCCCAAACAGATGCTAACACTCTGTGGCTAAGCACGTGGGGAAACATCATCTCACATGTCCCTGTGGAAAGGTAAATTAGCACAACCTCTAAAGAGGGTAATTTGGCTACATCTATCTAAATTACAGGACACATTCCCTTTGATCCAGAGATACCACTTCTAGGTTGTATCTTACAGCTATCCTTCCACTGAAGTACAGTGACATAAAGTATTAGCACAAGATTACTCATTACAGTATTATTTGACCAGTATATGTGGGGAACAAGCTAGATGTCCATTAACAGGGGACAGCCATAAACAAGAATGATGATGTTTATGGACTGATTTGGGAGTATCTCTAAGATATATTAATAAGGGAAGAAAGCAATTTGCAGAATGAAGTGAAGAGCTATACTTTGCACAAAGAAGATACAATGAAGCTGGATTTGACTGTGTATGTGTAAGATAGCGCTGGAAGGCTACTTAAGAACTGGGAACGCTGGTTGCCTCTGGGGAGGGAATTGAGTGTCTGGGTCACTGATGGGACAGAGATTTTTCAC